GGAGCCGGCGCAGCCCGCACCCCGGCACCCCGGCCCCGGCCAGCGGGGCCCCTGCTACCTGCCGGGCGCTTGATTGAATCCTGGCTTTTACGAGTGCTGACACTGTAATCTGTTACAGATGGTCACACAAGGTGGTCACCAAATGGTTCCTCCAGTTAATCGCTGGTCCCCGTGTGTCCCCCCCCCGCCCCCGCCGAAACTGCAGCCTGTGCTACCTGGGTGAAACAGCCGGGCTGTGGGCAGCGGCTTTACGGTGTGTTTAGTTCCTGTGGCATTAAAACAGAGAAGGGGGAAAAAGCTGCTGAGGTTTTTCGTGTGCATCACCCTGCGACGGCGCCGCAGCTGGCCCAGACCTGGGCATAACTTGGGGAGGTCAGAGGCACTGCCCCAAGCTGCGCGACAATATCTGAGCAGCTACGGGTCCCCCGGGGCGCAGGATGCTCCGTCTGAGCAGCTATGGGTCCCCCAGGGCGCAGAGTGCTTGGGTAGGACAGGGAAGGGAGCAGATGAAGCAGCAGCCCAAGTGCCAGTGGGCTGCACTTTTGTGATTCAGAACAGGCAGCATTTCTTTCTTTTTTTCCCCCCCCCCCCCCCCCCCTTGTTTTAAGGCTGCATTTTTTTTTGAATGCCAGCATGATTTGTCAGTCGGAGCCTAGGCTGTCCTCCACCCGTTTTATACCTTCTCTCTAAAAGCCTTGCGTCCCAGCCAGGCTCTGGACAAAGCCAGGAACACAACCGAGAGCAGGAAAGATTTCTAAGGAGGAGGTTTCTCACAACTCTCATCGCCTGCCTAACCAATATGAGTGGAAGCCCATTGAGAGGGAGCTGGCAGGGTTCCCCGGTGGGTGCCAGTGCAGGGATGAAGCAACAGCCTGAATGACACGTGAAAGGGTCCCCATCCTAATCGGTGACAGCCGTGATGCGCAGGGATGGGGGTAAGGCACAGGCCGCGCGGTGCAGTTGGATGCAGGCTGCGAGGCCCTAACGCAATAACCGAGGGCTCTTGCGTGTCAGAGCCACAGACCCACCACGGACCGGGCTGGTGGGACCGGGCTGGTGGGACAGCCTGTGCTGCCCCCCCGCTCGGTGAGCTCCTGTTCCCTGGTTACCCACTCCTCTCCCTCCTTTCCAGCTCCTGCAGGTGGTCCCTTTTTAAAATTATGTTTTTTTTTTTTTTCTTTTTCTTTTTTTTTTTTTTAACTATTTAGCTGCTTTTGCGGCTCCAGGATTTTATGGATGGAAAGCTGAAAGTAATTAGTGCCCCTCCCCCGCTTCCTGTTGGGAAAAGGAAGAAAAAAGCACTCACAAGAGCAAACCCAAAACTTCCTGCCCTGCTTAATAATCAAGTAATGAGCCCAACTCGGCTGGGAAAGTCAGTTTATACTGGGAGAGCTCTTAATTAAAGAAGGGCCCAGCAGCAGCTCTGCTCCCTTTTACAGCCACACGCATCTTCCTGCTCCACACCAGCCCCTGGGAGAGGCACGGGGAGTCGGACGCCAGCGGGCTGGAAGGAGGATGAGTGCTGGGGGTGTGCACTTTTATCCCCTGGTTGGAAGCAACGTCCTGGAAATGGCACCGAGGAAATGCGGGGGGAGAAGGACCAAATCCCAGCCCCTGGGGCACGCAGGTGGCAAGAGTGGCTGCACTGTCCCTGAAGCACCCCAGATTCAGAGGCAGCTGGGAAGGGGCGAGGCAGGTGGTTTGGGGCATTGGGGCAGTTTCATTACGGAAATCCTAGAGGCAGGTACCTGGGGTATCCCAGAGCACCTGCCCCTCGGTCCCCTCCCGGCCGTGGGCACGCAGGGGACAGCCCCACCTGCACTTGCTGATGGGCCCTGCGGTGACAACAGGATGTGTCACCTCTGCTGCCACACCACCCACATCGGGTCCCCCACCCGGAGGCTCAGCTCACTGAGGTGCCTGGTGCTTTAGCCATCCCCGGGGAGACTCAGGAGCCTGCCAAGAGCCGGAGGAGCCCCAGCGGGGCAGCCCCCCACGCTGCAGCACCCCCAGGCTGGGTGGGACAGGGCAACCCCTTGCACTTTCCCATGTGGAGCCAGGGAGATCCACTGCACCCCCAGCAGCCTGCTCCCCACCCCCCCGTGCCTGCATCACCGCACAGCTGCCCCTTCCCCAACCCGTTGGCAGGAACTGACTCAGCCTGCCTTTTCCTTCCCCGGGAGGCAACTGCTCTGCAGGTCCCCTCCTGTGAATGCCACTTGCCCTTCACCTGCAGCCAGAAGCCAAGAGTGCAGGGTAGGAGCAGGAGGGCTGAGTCCAGGACCCTCACCCAGCCCAGCCCCCTCATCCCCGCAGCACAGGAGGTAGCCACAACACTCACCCCACCCCCACCCCCGCTGTGTATTCACCCTAGGCACCCACAAAACCCTATTATAAATTAACCATTTTATTGAATATCAATAAACTGTATATAATTATATAAAAAGTTTCATCAGTACAAAATTGTGGCACAAAAATATAAATACCAGTGTACCTTTGAAATGTAAACATCCTCTTTGTAATGATTCCATGAAAACAATGTCCAAAGAAAGATGCATTCAGGAGGCACCTGTCAATACCCATAAATAGGGCTTTTGGCACACACCTGTCGATGGGCAGCCTTGGGACAGGCCACCATTGTATCGGCTGACAAGTGCCTGCTATTAGTCACAGTTCTCTTGAAAAGCAGTTGTTAAGAGTCATATTAACAGGTGCTTGAGTGCATAGCTGCTCTGTAAACAGGGTTGGTGTTTGAAATGGCTACCCATGCCTTTTATGGACACTGTTAATCTCGCAGGCATTGCAAATTGTCATTGTGCTGGGGAGAAGCAGCTGCTTCACAACTACTGGGATACTGTATTATTGCATAGTTACACCTTCTACAGGCGGCATATATACACTCGGGGCGGGTGGGGGTATTAACATTTTGTCCTTCATTAAAAAAAAAAGATTGGTTCTTAAAAGTTACCAAGTGGTTACAGTAAAAACAAACAAACAAACAAAAAACCCCCAAGCCCCCAAGCTACATGGTCGCAATGTTTGATACCAGCAGTGGGGCCAGGGTGCAGGTCCAACCCTGCAAGGTGCCGAGTGCCCTTGGCAAGCAGGGGCACCTGCTGAGGGGCTGCGGCAGCAGCGGGTCAGGCTCAGGGCTGCACCCCCCGAGTTTCACGCACTCGCTTTGCCACCCATGCTTTGCACTGGAGTCCAATCCTGCACCCTTAGACGCTGGGATGGGAGAAGGATCAGGCCTTCGCATCGCACAGGAGGCACCGAGTGAGGAGTGTGAGGGTCTCGAGGGCCGGAGTAGCCGCACGTAGCCCGGTGCACACTGCGATGGCGATGGAGGAAGCTAACTCCTACAGAAACTAGTTCTAATATAGGTATTTGCGTGGTGAGAGGCCCGGGGGAGCGGAGTCCTCAGCGAGAGCCGGAGCAGCCCGTCTCCTCGTGCTTGTGGAGCAGCGACATACGGGAGAAAGTCCGGGAGCAGGTTTTGCATTGGTACTTCTTTACATCTGAATGGGTCTGCAGGTGGGCTCGGAGATTAGAGCGGTCAGCAAAGGCCCGGTTGCAGTGTGTACAGGAAAAGGGCTTTTCACCTATGGGACAAAGAAAAACGCTCCCAATTAACCAGTGCATCAACACATGGGGAATATCAAAGAAGGAGCCATTCATTAGCCAAAGTTTGTGAAGAGCACAGTGAAAAGAAGTGCCGGCTGTTATTGTTTGGAGGAAAAGCCGGGAGAGGTATGTACAGCGTTCACTTCAGCAAAGCCAGGGACTTGGGAACTTCCTACTCGCAGAAAAACCTCTCCTATGAACCATGGAAAATTAATGCTGGAAACATCTGCAAGCAGCAGGGCAGTTACACATACAAATGAAGACATGATATTCGTCTCCTGCCTGGAGCCAAGCGAACCATTTGCAGTGAGGCAGGAAAGCCAAGCGCTATGTGTTAATTATATCATAGCAGGCAGCGGCTGAAAGGCGCCAGCGCCAGGGTGAGTATAGCTATTTCCTCCGCCAAACCCCGCGCTCCCCCTTCTCCCGCCCAGCTCGCATTGAAAAGCCTGGCCAGGGCGAATTCCTCCCAGAAAGACTCTTTTGGAGGAAACAAACGCGTATGCTCAATTTGGAAAGCACAATTAAGTCTTCCCGGCTTCCTTCAGCCATCATCTTTAGTATGTTAAGAGGGTGTGAAATCAGTGCCAAGTAACAATTACACTATCCCCGCAGCCCCACAAAGGATGCTCAGGAGATGCATTGTACGGGCAGCC